ACTCCTATACTTAATGTACTGACCAATAAAGGCAAGAATACCAAACACCTTCTTCATCGCCCTGTCTACCTGCGACTCCACTTTCAAGGAAGTATGAACCTGCACCCCAAGGTCTCTTTGCTCAGCAACACTCCCCAGGACCTTACCATTAAGTGTATAAGTCCTGCCCTGATTTGCCTTTCCAAAATGTTCCGCAACACTCCCCAATGGGGGTAGCATAGTTTGGGATTAAGGTCGGCATGGACTAGTTGGACCGAAGGGTCTGTTTCCATGCTTTACGAGTCTAAACGTCATGTTGAATTCAAAAGGTTAACAAGTGCCTTTCTCTCTCTGCACAGACCTGCTAAGTTTCTCTAGTAAAGTCTGTTTATTTTTTATAAACCATCATTGTCGATTCAGATCCCTATAAAGGAGGACTGGAACAGAAAAGCGACCAAAAAAAAAACCATTACAACACTTTTCCTCACAAGCTCTTGTCATTTCCAATGTGGCTTTTCCAGCAATTTCTATTTTCGTTTCTGATTTACAGCATCCGCAGTTCTTTGGGTTTTTATTACGCACATGTTAATACCATGTTGCCCAGTCTACCATCTGAAAGCTAACAGGCACATGAGAGATCAGATCTCCATTCCGTTGCAAGTATAGTTGGGGGTACCCAGTCCTTTCCCCCACTCCCTCACCAAATGGATATTGCAATGCACAAGGCAACATTCACCAAAATATATCTTTACAGCAAACAGAACTGGGTGGGACTGCTGGAAGAGCAAACAAAAAAGTACTTGAAGGAAATGCAGAAAGATAGCGTGCTATTTATTCGCATTATAAACAAACTGAGCATAATTAGAATCCAGCTTACAGAACTGTCCACACGCACCATCTCCTCAAGTGAAATTAACTGTAATCCCAAGCCTGGGTCAAATAAAGGCTGACTAACCACAGGATTTCAGAATTGGATGTCAACGCAAGCCTTTGCTAAAGTTTTAAAGGAACGAAGGGATTATCTTCAGGCCCGCAGGGAAGTGGGCACTGAGCCTACTGAGAGATGAGCCATGATCTTATCGCGTGGCAGAGCAGGCTTGAGGAGCAGAATGGCCGACTCTCGCTCTTAATTTGAATGTCCATGATGTTTATATATATATCTTGGGAGATACTGGGAAACGGGTTCTGTCATTGCAATATGGCCCCCTTTTGAGGTACAAAAGAAAATACTTAAATAGAGTTCACCTTCATCGGCACCAGGTCCCAAATACAGTTCTGGGCCTTTGCAAGGTCCACGCTCCGGGCCTACTGCCATCAGGACTCCTTGCTCCTTCATCACTGCAGTGGACGCCTTGCTGCCGATTCCAGGCCTCGGGCCTACAGAGCCAGGAGTCCACACCAACACTGTTCCAGCCTCTCCACCATGTCTGGAACATGAAGAGAAGACAGAAAGGTGGAGGTGGGGGGGTGGTGAAATGATGCGGCCGATCTTGAGTGGACGGGCCTACCATTGCTGGTTCTGCCATCTTGAAAAGCTGTGCCCACGCTCTCTTCTGCTTAGGCGGGCACACACACGCCACGCTAAAGGCACTGAAAAGACCGTAAAAGAGAAAAAGGGGTAAAAAACAAAGAGTCAAAGAAGGTAAACAGGGGCGGAGCAACCCTGGACCAGGCAGTGGTGTCACTCCACCGCCGCCATCTTGGTGACAGATAGATAGGATTGGTTTAAAAATGGCATCAGGGTCGGCATGGACTACCTTCAAGCAAAATTTTTGTGAGCAACTTTTCAGAGAATCCCTAAAGTGTGGAAACAGGCCCTTCGGCCCAACAAGTCCACAATGACCCTCAGAACATCTCACCCAGACCCATCCCCATATAACCCACCTAATCTACACATCCCTGAACACTACGGGCAATTTAGCATTGCCAATCTACCTAGCCTGCACATCTTTGGACTGTGGGAGGAAACTGGTGCACCCAGAGGAAACCCACGCCAAGAGCTTTTGCAGAAAACTTTACCGAGGAAGTATTGTGAAGAAATTGTTAAAGGAATTTGAGCACAGATCCTGGACAAACAACATTCGAGAAGAACTTTTCTTGAATGGTTTTGTGAAGAACTTCTGCAAACAGCGCTTCCAAACAAATACCTTTGCAAATTTTTGCGAGCAGATTTGGTGAACAAATTTTGCGAATGAGTTTTATGGAGAACTTTCGCAAAAAATTTTTGAGGACTTTGGCAAATAACTTCTGAGATTGTTTGTAAACAACTTTTGAGATTGTATGCAAACAACTTTTCAGAACATTTGTGAAGAATTTTCGAGAACTTTTGCAAACAACTTTTGAGAACTTTTGCAAACTATTTTTCAGAACTTTAGCAAACCACTTTAAAGAAGAACTTTTGCAAACTATTTTTCAGAACTTTAGCAAACCACTCTAAAGAAGAACCTTTGCAAACAACTTTTGTGAAGAACATTTATGAAGAACTTTTGCAAAGAGGTTTTATAATCAACCTTTGCTCAGAACTTTTGCAAACGACTTTTCTGAAGAACTCTAACGAACAACTTTCTTTTGCAAACTGTTGTAATTTTTTTTTGCGTAGAGTTTTCACAAACAGACAAAATGCGAATAAATTCTACAAACGTTAGTGCTGAACTTTTTTTGAACCACATTTTGCGACTAGGCTAATTTACAAGAGTCTGAACGACGGGGGAGGGGCGGACCGGTGGTGGGACGGGCGTGTAGAGCGACATCGGTAAAGACCAATAGAGAGCGGATATGGCTGACGGACAGCAGGGATAAACCAATCAAAGGGCGATAAGCGGGCGGGCAGTCAACGATGTGATTGACGCTGGTAGAGGCCTATCAACGCGAGGGCGGCCGTTGGAGGTGGACCAATACAGACTGACCGAAGGGAGAGGGCGGCAAACACGAACTGGCCAATGAGAGGAACCGCAGGCGCTGACCGACAGGCGCAATGACCAACAAGAGGGAAGATTTGTAAATGAGATAGACAGCCTCTTCAACCAATTGGAAACGTTCATGGGGGCAAGGCCCGTGCGACATTGGGGGAGAGATGTAGGGAAAGCCGCAGGTTGGCTCACTCTATTTGACTGACAGCCCATCCGACCAATGGGAGCAAACGACTATTGGACGGCCAGCGGGCCGCCCATCGCGTGCGGAACAATAAAGGGAGGGGACAATGAATTGACGGACAGTCCAACGGCACAGCTGACCAATCGGGAAGGGACAAGCTACACGCACTAAACCAATCAGATGGCAGAGCTGGGACGTGACAGACAGCCTCACCAATGGGAGCTGAGGCAACGGAGGCCGACCAATAATGGAGGACATGGGCGGGGTCGACAGCTGGCGGACCGTCCCATTTCTGGGGGGTGTGGCCAGACCAACGAATCTAACCAATGAAAGACGGTGGGGGTGGGTTGGGTACGCCATGACTGCCTCGCTGTCCAATCCATGGTGAGGAACCGTAGTGGGCGGGGATAGGAACAGACGGACAGCGGCGTAGACCAATCGGAGGTGGTGAGTGTTTCCGTGCTGTCCAAAGACGGAGGGGTGGCGGGACGACACGTCACGGGCAGCCACACGGGCCAATAGAGGGCGGGGAGACTGACCAATGGCTCTGGGATGGGGAATGACTGACGGACCGACTGGCCCATGAGGAGCGAGGGCGCGCTAGTTCGGTTCGAAAGGTAGTAGTGCGGGAGTCGGGAAGGAGAGCAGCGGTTGGGAAATGGATCGAAACGAGATTTACTACTCGGATCGGTACAATGACGGCGAGTACGAATACCGGTGAGATAGCAGGGCGGTGGCGGGGTGGAGGGGAACAACCGCGTAAAGAAATTCCTCAGGAGTCTTTGAAAAAAATGGCCCGTCGTCTCCTTCTCTTCCACAGCGGCCCTTTGACTTCGCGATTTCCATCTCCCCTCTCCCTTCAAGGACCGTCTCCTCGTTTTCTTTCTAAAACAAACGATGGATGTTCTTTTCTCTTTGATCGAAGACCCTCCCATCCCCCCACCGGAAACCGCCCCTGTTGACCCCTTACGCGCAGCCCGCCGGGAGGTGTAGTCCTGACATTGAGCTTCGCTTCCGGTAACGGCCGGAAGTCAGTGATCCAGATAGGGCAAATTCCCGCTCGCAGTGCCCGCCGGGAGTTGTAGTCCTGGAGTTGACATCCTGCCTTGCTTCCTCCAGTCGCTGGCCCAGACAAGGCTTCTTCTACTGTTCTGAGGAAGGATGATCGGACTCGAAACGTTAACTTTGATTTTTCTTTTTCGCAGTTGCTGCCAGACCTGATGAGCTTCCCTAGCAACTTCTGTTTTTGTTCCTCCTTCTACTGTATTCGCTGCTCACAATGTGGTCTCCTGTACACTGGGGAGACACAGCGCAGATTGGACGACTGCTTTGCAGAATACATATGTTCTGACCGCAAAAATGACCCTGAGCTTTGGGTTGCCTGCCAGTTCAATACATTCTATGAAAATAGAAGGGGTAGCATGGTGGCTCAGTGGTTAGCACTACTATCTCATGGCACCAGGGACCCCGGGTTTGATTTCACACGTGGGACAACTGTCTGTGTGGAGTTTGCACGTTCTCCACCGCCCCCCCCCCCCACCAACCCCGTGTCTGCATGAAGTTCCTCCTGGATGCTTCAGTTTCCCACAGTCCAAAGATGTGCAAGTTAGGGTGGATTGGCAATAGTATCTAGGGATGTCCAGGCTAGGTCAATTAGCCATAGTAAATGCAGGATTACGTGGATAGGGTGGGATGCTCTTCAGAGGGCCGAATGGGCTGCTTCCACACTGCAGGGAATCTATGATTTTAAGATACCTGACCAACTCATTGTCAAAGTAATTAAGTATCTCCAGAATCATGTCTTAATATTCATCTGTCAATGAATGCTACAGGAATGAGGACATATAGCCTGTGATCACGGTGCTTTTTGTGGGTCCTCACTGTGTGCAAGTTGGTCTGGTGCATTTCCTGCAATGCGACAGTGAGTCCATTTGAATAGTAGCTTCATTGGTCTGCAAAATGTTTTCAAACTCCCCAGTGGTTGTAAAATGTTCTATAGCACTACAGTATTTCTTCCTTGCAATGTGATATCCAGAACAGACAACTGAAGAGAGAACTTGCATCAATGCAGACCTTTTGAAATACTGTCAGTGTTGTATTGGGTCTGTTGCTGCTACAGTGGTTGATTGGTCATTCCTTGAGCTGATTGTTTGGTGCTCGTGTTTGCAGTTCAGAGAAGATGTTTTGTGTGTGTGCGTGCGTGCGTGTGAGAGAGAGAGAGAAAGCCAATGGAGGGGTGGTGGAAAGTGAGTGATTGACTGGCCGATCAATGAGAATAATTTGTTTTCATTGAATCCCCACAATCCCCACTGGCCTTTCAGCCAGTCAGGTTCACACCTACCCTCTGAAGAGTATTCCACCCAGAATCACCATCCTCCCTACCCTATCCCTGTAATCCTGCATTCCCGATGGCTAACCCACCTAGCCTGTACCACTACAGGGTAATTTCCCATGGCCAGTCCACTCTAACCTAAACATCCCTGGGCACTATGGGCAAGTTAGCTTGGCTAATTCAACCTGACGTGCAGATCTTTGGACTGTGGAAGGAAACCGGGATACCTGGAGGAAACCCACGCAGATATGGGGAGACAACGAGCAAAATCCACACTGACCGTTGCCCCAGGGTGGAATCGAACCCAGGCCCCTCGTGCTGTGAGGCAGCAGTGCTAACCGCTGAACCATCGTGTTGCCCCCAGTCGGCTGAAAGTCTGTAACGAGAATTGCTGGGGAAACTCCGGGGATCTGGCAGCATTGTGGGGAGAGAAAACATTTAGAATCCAGTGACCCTACTTCACAGCAGAACACTGGACTCGAAACGTTAACTCAGACTTCTCCCTCCACAGGTGCTGGCAGACCGCACAGTTTTTGCGTGTTTTTGTTTCAGATTTCCGGCATCCGTGTTATCTTTTGATTTATTTTAAGGTGGAAAGCCTTCGTTAGGGAGCCGGTGTTGACAGAGAAGGTCCAGGAAGGTTGTTACGATTCACACCAGGATCTTCTATCAGGTTCACACCTCACTTGAAGCTTTCACATGACACCGTGACTCAGTTCGGGCCTCCGGAGATTGAATACTCAGACTCGGGCGTTCACTTTTTTTTTTTTTTGTTTTTCTATCCCCAGTCACGTCATGCTGCCCAAAAAGATCGCAAAGCTCGTGCCCAAGACTCACCTCATGTCAGAAACCGAATGGAGGAACCTGGGGGTACAGCAGAGCCCGGGCTGGATTCACTACATGATTCATGAGCCAGGTAACACAGCTGAAAGCTAGCTACACCCCCTCCCTGTCTCTGTCATCCCCTACACCCCCTCCTTATCTCTGTCACCTCCTCCATCCCCTGTC